CATCAGGTTTGAATCTAATACTGTACTCTCTTCTCTTATTCTATTCTATTTTTAGAAAAGTATTATCTATTTATCTTAATGTTCTCATGTTCTATTTCCTTATCCATCTTTATAGAGTTAATTAATGATCTAATAAAAGATGTTAGCGCAATCCCTGTGGGATTAAAATGTGGAACACGACGAAGCTGTTGTCTCTTGAAAAGTGGGAATTCAGATTTCTGTCACGGTCTATGATGTTCTACCAATTCTGTCTCTCACAATCTTTGACGGTCCTTAGTTAAGGCGTCTTTCGCCATCTGTCATGTCTGTGCAAGAGAGTTCAAATTTCTGCCTCTATACACTTCAATACTCCTGTTGGATCGTGTCTCACAAAATGTGAAGAGACGAATCGTCAAGCACATGCCTGAAAATGTAAGAAGAATAGCAAAATTGACTATGCACTAGTGAGTTTTCACTACATATTCAGATATATCAAGTATTAATTTGGTTGAATCAATCATTCATATTGCTTTTTATGGAAGATCAGTACCTAAGAGTAAGAGATCAAGAGAGAGAAACATTATGTATGTTTACTGGCTACGCCATGGACGTATTTAGACAAAATGAATAATTATTATATGTATATGTTCACCGCTAGTTTAATGTAAAGAAAGCTATTTTTATTGGTTAGATCAAAATAACACTTTGGATCAACTGCAATTTCTTTTTTACTAAGCTGCCGTAATGTTTCATCTGACACTCGCTTACGAAGTAGTTAAACGAGACCAATGCAGTTTAACTGAAAAATCGAAATTTGTAGTCTATCTCATTAGTTTTTATAAATAAAAAAAACACATACAGTTCCAATGCGGAACAAATTTTGTTCTAAGGTAATTGGAACTAATTATTTCATTTACGTGTTTAATTATACAAATATCTAATAATATCATATACGTGCGATCTGTTTAACACTATTTATTCATTTCCTTAACGTTCTGTTCTTTATTTTCAAATATACCTGATTGGCTACTTCTTATTGGTTGATGATAGTCTTTGTCTCAGAATAAAGAACAATGATACAGCTATAAAAGGAAGAGGAGAAGGTAAGTTCGCTTCATTTTAAAGATTGGTGCGTTCGCTGTAACATGTCATCCTGTGCATCTGACATGAGTAAAAACACTTTTGACGAATTTAAATAATACTAAGAACAGTATTATCTCATTTTTTATAGTCGAGACTTTTCTGAATCTATCGTCCATTCAACATGTTTCTTCGGAAATAAATGCGTTGAGGTAATCTATCTCTGCCCTAGAGAAAGTACTGAGTCCAGGGTACCCATGTACTGAGAAAGCTCTAGCAGGTACCCAGTATGGGTACTTTGAAAATTCTCAGTAATTTTGCTGATGTATGTACTGTTTGGGGTACCCGTAAAAGTACATTCACTGAATAAGTACCTGCATGGATACACAAGTCTGTAACTTTACTGAGGAAAGCTCGACAGGGTATCCTAAATTTGTTGCGTTCTGTGTGGCGACTATTCATTCACCGTTTTCTTTTTTACGTACGGCTCTATATAAACAACTCGATAAATCATAAGAAAATAATCAATTTTCATACTAATTTTTTCTAAATTATTTCTTGACTATTTCTTAGTCGAGGAAATGCCGAGCATGGTCGTAAATTAAGATCGGACTACCCTGAAGTGGTCTACGACCAACTCAAGTTGAGTCGGATTCCGACATTGTTCCTGCTAAGTTTTTGGAATTGAAAAAATTAAATTGAGTAAAGTAAAAAAAAATGTAGTAAATTATCTCAAGAAAAAGAAAAAAATTTAAAGAGTCAAAGATCAGGTTCGATCCTGAACATACTGAAAATTTGGTAACAGGGTACTTAGAAATACTATACAATGGTACCCAATTCAGTACTTGATCAGTACCTTCAGGTACCCAATTACTGTTCATATTCCAGCAGGGTACTTTCAAAGTACCAGTTAGGTACCTGTAAGTACCTGCAAGTACTTTGGTACCCTAAAGTTCCTGTGACATACTGGTATCAGGGTACTTTTTTGGGTACCCTTAACTCAGTATATTCTCTAGGGTGTCCATAATGTTAAATATTTTCCTAATCAAGACAAACAACATTCAATCTCTTTTTTAAATAGGTATAACATTGAGAGTCAGATCTTGTATTATGACTGACATATTAGTATAAATTAAGTATCGATGTATACTATAAACGTATAATCTAATTCTTAACATTGTTCCATGAACTAAGAAAAATAGTTGTGTTATTTGTTTTAATCAGTTTATATTATTGATTTTAAATAACTTCCCAGAGTTTTTGCTCTACTTTGCTTTCATACACTCGCCACACTATACTTCCATTGTTGAAATAAACAGAAAATCACAGTACTATTTTGTCATTATAGCAACGACTGAAGTGATTTTTGTGTGCGAACATTGAAATTCTTATTGAGACACAGTAATAAAGATCATTAGAAGAAAAAAGTCCGAAATAATATATTTGTGATTCTCAAATACTTTTCGATAAATTTATTTAAATTTTAATTATTTATTACAATTTAAGTGACGTCTCTTTCGTGTTCGAAGATGGTCTTTTCAATGTTTCATTAAAATTGTATAAATAGAGTGGTCGTAGAAACAGGAATAGAGCAAAATGAATGAAAAATAGAACAGACTGTATATTTCTTTCAGTCTAATTTAATAGTGATGCGAAAAGTAAGACGATAAGTGTAATGACTAGGCAGGCGCAATCTTTTTTTCGCATCACTATTAAATTAGGCTGAAAGAAATACATAGCCTGTTATATTTTTCATTCATTTTGCTCCGTTCCTGTTCCTACGACCACTCTATTTATACAATTTTAATCAAACATTGAAAAGAACATCTTCGAACACGAAAGAGACATCACTTAAATTGTAATAAATAATTAAAATTTAAATAAATTTATCGAAAAGTATTTAATTGATATTTATCAAGACAAAAGGTCAGAAATGATGTTAAAAAATGACTTCTACTATTAGCATTATCTTAGTAAAATAACTAATTATTTTCACTTCTTCCAAAGTAATCGTTTTAATGCATCATATGAACAGCATTTATCGGCATTTTTTGTGACAGTTTTACACCATTATTTTTATTACGATTTGAAGGCATTTTAATACCATTTTACCATTCTTATCCCTGCCTGGGTACTTGTTGATGGACATGACATGAATGAAAAATGTAATTAAAGTAATTAAATGTATAACAAGATAATCTTCATTTTGATATGTTTGAAGACATTCTTTAGCAGCTATATAATCAAAATAAAGATTTGATGATGGTGTTTGTTCATAAAAATTTATTAATTTTTGTACACAATCATCAGCAAATATTTTTGTTAGCCATTTAGCTGATGATGTTGCACGACGAATTGAATTTTGATTAGTCGATGTTTGTAATTGTTCATCACCACCTGTATCAGTATAATCAGCATCATCATCATAAAGACCAAAACTATCTTTATCATCATCGCCTATA